AGAGAGTGTCAATAATTGATGGGTCTGCTCAGCAGGGCCAGCCCAGCCGCTCCATCTGTCTTGTCACAGCCCCGACTGTGCTCCGGGAGTCCGGGGGGCTTCAGGTCTCTTCCCACTGAGGCCAGTGATCCCAGGCCTCACCCCACCAACTCCCAGGGTCCCACTGCACCAAGCCCTTTAAGACCCATGACTCACAGGCTGGGCGCGGTGGCTCACACCTGGAATCCCAGCACTTTGGGGGGCGAGGTGGGTGGATCACCTCAGGTTGGGAGTTCAAGACCAGCCTGGCCAACATGGTGCAAACCCCATCTCTACTAAAAATACAAAAATTAGCCGAGTGTGTGTGTGTGTGGCACACACCTGTAATCTCAGGTGGGAGGTTACATGGGAGGCTGTGTCACGAGAATCGCGGAGGGCCCGATTCTCTGGGGGGCGGAGGTTGCAGTGAGCTCCACTTCACTCCAGCCTGAGAAACAGAGTGAGACTCTGTCTCAAACAGAACAAAACAAAAAAAAATCCATGACTCAGGCCTTGCAAGTCGGTGTCCATTTTATTTTTATTTATTCTTTTTTTTTTTTAAGACAAGGTCTTACTCTATTGCCCAGGCTGGAGTGCAGTGGTACCATTATAGCTCACTATAGCCTCGACCTCCTGGGCTCGAGTGATCCTCCCACCTCAGCCTCCTGAGTAGCTGGGACTACAGGTATGTGCCACCACGCCTGGTTCTTTTTTTTTTTTTTTTTTTTCTGTAGAGATGGCGTCTTGCTATGTTGCCCAGGCTAGTCTCGAACTCCTGGGCTCAAGTGATCCTCCTGCCTCGGCCTCCCAAAGTGCTGGGATTGCAGGTGTGAGCTGCCATACCTGGCCAGTGTCCATTTCATTTTATTTTTGTTTTGTTTTTTTGAGACGGGGTTTCGCTCTTATTGCCCAGGCTGGAGTGCAATGGCGCAATCTCAGCTCACTGCAACCTCTGCCTCCTGGGTTCAAACTCCTGCCTCAGCCTCCCAAGTAGCTGGGATTACAGGCATGCACCACCACGCCCGGCTAATTTTGTATTTTTAGTAGAGACGGGGTTTCTCCATGTTGGTCAGGCTGGTCTCGAATTCCTGACTTCAGGTGATCCGCCCACCTTAGCCTCCCAAAGTGCTGGGATTACAGGCATGAGCCACCGTGACCAGCCAATTTTATTTTCATTTATTTATTTTTTGAGATGGAATCTCGCTCTGTTGCTCAGGCTGGAGTGCAATGTCGAGATCTCAGCCCACTGCAACCTCCACCTCCCGGGTTCAAGTGATTCTCCTGCCTCAGCCTCCCAAATAGCTGGGATTATAGGCACCTGCCACCATGCCTGGCTAATTTTTGTACTTTTAGTAGAGACGGGTTTTGCCATGTTGGCCAGGCTGGTCTCAAACTCCTGAACTCAAGCGATCTTCCTGCCTCAGCCTCCCAAAATGCTGGTATTACAGGCGTGAGCCGCCACACTTGGCCAGTGTCCATTTTAGTTATGGCAAAAGAGAGAGGGGAATCTGTTGGCCCAAGTTGGGGGTGACATCAGTTGTTCTCAAACTGGGTTCCCCAGAACCCTCAGGACCACCGTACGGATGGGCAGGGTCCAGCTGCCTGCTGGGTTGTGGCAGGGAGCCTGGACACTTTCCACTGTGGCCAGATTTCCACTGGAGAAAGGGTTCGAGGGCCAAACATGAATATCAGGTACCCACAGCTCATGGCTCTGCAGAGGAGGGGACAGGCTTGCCTCAGCCCAAGCAATAGGTTCTTACACTGTAGAGAAGCCTAGGATCACCTGGCAGGAGGTGCATCCAGCCCCTAAATGTGTCCCAACGCAACCCACTTCTTCTTCTTCTTCTTCTTTTTTTTTTGAGACAGAGTCTCGCTCTGTTGCCCAGGTTGGAGTGCAGCAGCGCGATCTCGGCTCACCGCAACCTCCGCCTCCTGGGTTCAGGCGATTCTCCTGCCTCAGCCTCCTGAGTAGCTGGGATTACAGGCACCCACCACCATCCCTGGCTAATTTTTCTATTTTTAGTAGAGAAGGGGTTTCACCATGTTGGTCAGGCTGGTCTCCAACTCCTGACCTCAGGTGATCAGCCTGCCTCAGCCTCCCAAAGTGCTGGGATTACAGGCGTGAGCCACCATGCCTGGCCTAACGCAACCCACTTCTTACCTCCCCCACAGCCTGGTCCCCTTGTCTCCTGGCACCATCTATCCCCATGCCCCCGGTCTATCCTTCCTGTAGCAGCCAAAGGGTGCCAGTGAGTACCTGAGTCAGGTTCTATCCTTCCCCTGCCAACCACCCTCCATGGCTCCCACTTCCCTTGGGGTCAAAGTCAAGTGTTCCTGGCAACCATAAGAATCTGCACACCATGCCCTGTCCCCTCCCTGCCCTCTCCTCTACCCTCTCTCCTCCTCCTCACCGCTCCAGCCCCATGGGCCTCCTTGCTGCTCATCCATCATGCCAGGTGGCATCCTGCCCCAGGACCTTTACACAACCTATGCCCTCTGCCTAAGCTGCTCTTCCCCCAGGTCTCTACATGGCTGTTTCTTTCTTGTCATCCAGGTCTGGGTTTACATGGCCCCTCCTCAGGAGGCCCTCCCAGATCCCCCGTCTATTTTATTTATTTTATGTGTATATATTTTTTTAATTTTTTGAGACGGAGTCTCACACTCTGTCAACCCAGGCTGGAGTGCAGTGGTGCGATCTTGGCTCACTGCAACCTCTGCCTCCCGGGTTTAAGTGTTTCTCCTGCCTCAGCCTCCTGAGTAGCTGGGATTACAAGCACCCACCACCACACCCAGCTAATTTTTGTATTTTTAGTAGAGACAGGGTTTTGCCCTGTTGGCCAAGCTGGTCTCGAATTCCTCACCTCAGGTGATCCGCCCGCCTCGGCCTCCCAACGTGCTGGGATTACAGGCGTGAGCCACGGCGCCCAGCCAATTCTCTTCTTTTTCTTTAAGACAGGGTCTCACTCCTGTCACCCAGGCTGGAGTGCAGTGGTGTGATCTCGGCTCACTGCAGCTTCAACCTCCCTGGGCTCAGGTGATCCTCCCACCTCAGCCTCCAGAGTGGCTGGGACTACAGGCCCGCGCCACCACACCTGGCTAATTTTTTCTTTTTCTTTGTTTTCAGTAGAGACAGGGTTTCACCATGTTGCCCAGGCTGGGAAATTCTCTAGATGGACCTGCAAGGTTTTGGTTATGGGGAAACTGAGTCAGAGAGGGTCACGAGCTTATAAAGCAGTGATGTGGCAGAATCAGAATTTGAACCCAGCCTTTAACCTAGCGCAATCCTTTCCCCATCCTAGTCCACAGCACATTTGGGGTTCAAGTCTCTCTCCCAGAGCTCACCCCAGAGGGGAAGGATGGAAGCCTTAGGAAGCTTCTAGAAGCACTGTGTCCTGTAATCCCCTCCTCGGGCCTTTGACAATGTCTTGCTGAATCTCCCCCACCCCTCAAAGCACCCTCCCTCCCCCCAGTTATCTCAGCCCCTTTCTACAAGAAAAAGGAGATGACCAGCCCCATTGGACAGATGGGGAAACTGAGGCCTAGAAGCTGGGAATTTACAAGATCCCAGGAACTCTGCCAGAGGTCCCTGCGTCAAAGCTCGGGTGGGTGTGATTCCAGGGAAGTTGTCTGCTGAGGGGTGTCGGGGGATGCTGGGAAGGGGCAGGCAGGCTGTGGAACCAGGCGGTTCCTCCCTCTCGATCTGCCTCCTCGCGCCCCTCCCCGTCTGTAACACCTGAGGCTGTACCTGGGCAAGTGTGAGTCATTTTTTAGCGCTGACGTCTCTCTGGGAGAAGTGTTTCCCCGTCAATGGCTGGAGTTTTGTCCTCAAGGCACCCTTTCGTGGCCCCATTGGACAGACAGGGACACTGAGTCCTCTGGAACCCACCATACTGAATTGTCAGGCAATCAAAGGACCCCTCGCCCACCTGGGCTGACCCCTGGAGGAACGGGGACGAGGAAACTGAGGTTCTGGGGGCACCTGACAGTTGGCCCAAGGCCACACAGAGGGAGGGGCACACGGCGGGGCCTCAGACCTGCACCCGTCTGCAGAGCCGCTTCCTTTAGGGACCCCCTGGTACCCCACGATTAGAGCAGGATTCAAGTCCCCTCCAGCCCATAGTCCCCCCAGGGGTCTAAGCACTCACCCGCCACCTGTGTCCCAGGCTGCTCCAGCCTCTGGCCAGTTCCCAATTCACCCAGGTGTTTGTGTGGCTGGAGACAGCCCTTTGTTCACTGTTTCCATAGGTACAGCGTCCCTGAACGGCCCCTCCTCTGCCCCTCCCAGCCCTTGCCTATGCAGGTCCTGGGCCGGCCCATACAGGGAGCTTGTTATGTTTCAAAGTTGGCGCCCTCGGACCTGCCGTGGTGGCAGAGGGCATAGCCCATGCAAAGGCCCTGAGGCAGGACCTCGCCTGGGGTGCTGGAGGAACAGGAGGAGGCCAGTGCGACTGGGGCAGAGCCACGGCGAGGGTCAGGGGGGTTACAAGCAGGGCCTGTATTCCTGCACCCGATCCCCCAGCAGTCGTAATTCGGTGAGTTACGACCCACTCCTGTTTTACAGATGAGGAAACAGGCTCAGCAGAATTGAAAAACTGGTTCAAGGTACCATGCGGGTGGCAGAGTTCAAATCTAGATTTGCCCAAGCTCCGCCACGACTGGGCTGACCCCACTGGGACCTCCCGAGGCGTTCACCGCCCCCAGCTGAGCTGGGACTGGCTCAGGAAAGAACCTCTGGTAGCCTGTTTACACCTAGAGCTGCTCCTCCCCCAGCCCTTCCCCCCACCATAGAGAAGGTGCTGGAAAATGTGAGGATGCAGAGAAAACAGATTCTGTCCTTCCTGTGTCCCCACCTCCCTGGCCAAACATTGGAAGCATTGGCCTCTTTCTAGGCCTTAGTTTACCATCCCAGGAAATGGACCTAGTTCGACTTCACAGAAAAGGCCAGGAGGCGACAGACGTCCTTCAGATCACCTGCCAATTACCTTGGCAGCGACGGTCCCAGTTCACAGCTGGCAAAACTGAGGCCACGGCCCCACAGGCCACTTGGGAGTTCGTTAGGGGCCAGTCCGGGTGGGCCTGGGCGGGCCTAGGCCTGGCTCCCCGCCACCGATGCCTGGTTTAGCCAGAAGCTACAGTCAAAGCTACACTCATGCCCACCTCCGCATGGCTGGCCCAGCTGCCCACCTCCTGGAATGCCCTCGGGGTTCTGGAATCTGTCCTGAGCACCTGTGGCCCTGCAGTTAAAGGGGGCAGAGTCCACTAGATTCCACGGAGGGGTGGGGGTGCTGGTCCCAAGCAGAGCCCCACGCCAAGGGGGGCAATTGAGACTCAACCTGTCTCTCCCTAACCTATACAGCAAGAGGGACAGAGAGACAGAGGGAAACTGAGGCAGGAATGCAGACGGACAGGCGGCGGGGTGCAGAAGCATTACCGGGCGGGAGAGACAGGGCGGCCAGGTGGTCCCCGGGATGCGCTGAAATAAGGGGCGCCCCGGCACTTCTCGCTCACCTGCTCTCGGAGCAGAGTCCGTGCGTCCAACCGTCGGGGGTCAGTCCAGCCGCCTCCGTGGGCTGGGGCCGTTGCCGCGGCAGTGGGAGCAGCGCCGGAGCGGGGCCGGGGCCGGGGCGGGGCGGCAGCGCGGCCCCGCCCTCCACTTGCCTCGCCCCTCGGCAGGACACGCCCTCCACTCGCCCCGCCCGCAGGAAGGGACCGGAGAGTTGCCAGGCATGGAGGGCGGGCCGAGTGCTTCGGATTAGCCAATGACAGGGGGGCAATGTACGAAGAGGCCAATGGGAGCAGGGCACTGCGACGGGAGGAGGTGGGGGAAGGGGCGGAGCCTGGGGCGGGGTCAGGCGGGTCTGGGGGATTCCTCCGGAATCGCGAAGGGGCCCGGATGCGGGGGCGAGGCCGTAGTCGGGGCGCCGGCCACAGAAAAGGGAAAAGATAAGAGTATGAGACAGACGGAGAACCTGGGGAGGGAGGCACAGAGGCACCAACAGGAAGAGACCGGAGAGCCAAAAGGCAAAACAGAGCAACCACGTGGTTCTGCACGGGCCCCTTCCTCCTTCTGGGGCTCAGTTTACCCACCTGGGTAATAGGAATTTCGGCAGAAGCATGTTTCTCAAAGTTCGGCCTCGGGGAACCTTTCGCGTCAGAAAGATCTGAGAGGCAATGTAAAAATGCATTGGGCGCGGTGGCTCACGCCTGTAATCCCAGCACTTCGGTAGGCCGAGGCGGGCAGATCACGAGGTCAGCAGATCGAGACCATCCCGGCTAACACGGTGAAAGCCCGTCTCTACTAAAAATACAATAAATTGGCCGGGCGCGGTGGCTCAAGCCTGTAATCCCAGCACTTTGGGAGGCCGAGACGGGCGGATCACTAGGTCAGGAGATCGAGACCATCCTGGTGAACACGGTGAAACCCCGTCTCTACTAAAAAATACAAAAAACTAGCCGGGCGAGGCGGCGGGCGCCTGTAGTCCCAGCTACTCGGGAGGCTGAGGCAGGAGAATGGCGTAAACCCGGGGGGCGGAGCTTGCAGTGAGCTGAGATCCGGCCACTGCACTCCAGCCCGGGCGACAGAGCCAGACTCCGTCTCAAAAAAAAATAAATAAATAAAATAAAAATAAATTAGCTGGGCGTGGTGGCGGCGCCTGTAGTCCCAGCTACTCAGGAGGCTGAGGCAGAAGAATGGCGTGAACCCGGGAGGCGGAGCTTACAGTGAGCCGAGATCGCGCCACTGCACTCCAGCCTGGGCGACAGAGCGAGACCGTCTCAAAAAAAAAAAAAAATGCAGGTTCCAACTAGGCGTGGTGCCTCACACCTGGAATCCCAGCACTTTGGGAGGCCAACGCAGGAGGATCCCTTCAGCCCAGGAGTTTGAAACCAGCCCAGGCAACATAGGGAGACCCTGTCTCTACAAAAAAAGAACAAAAGAAGTTAAAAATTTAAAAATACAGATTTCTGTGCCACTAGAAGGGATGAATGTAACCCAGGGTTGTGGGGCTAAGATAAATCTTTGGGGTGAGGTGGAGGACGCCTGGAGACACCATCAGAGGATCGCCAAATCCAGCCTCAATTTCCACAGGAATGAGCCTGCAGGACACACAGGAGCTCCCCGGCTGCGCAGCGCCAGCTGGGGTCCACCAGAGAGGATGCAGCTGTGAGTCCTGGGAACCAGGCCCTGGAGCTACTCCCAGGCCCTCTGCGGCTCCATTTCCGCTCTGCAGCCCCAACTCTGGGTCCGGGTTGGGGCTGGGGCCTAGGGAGCCCATAGCAGCCTCGCTGTTTCTTCCTCCAGGAAGCCAGACAACAAATTGTTGAGGGCCTGTTGTGTGTCCTGACCTTCAGCCGGGATTCAGGAAGACCGTGGCACAGGCCTCAGGAGGCAAAAGTAAGTTAAATGTCTCATTGGCCGGGCCCGGTGGCTCACCCCTGTAATCCCAGCACTTTGGGAGGCCGAGGTGGGCGGATCACCTGAGGTCAGGAGTTTGAGACCAGCCTGGCCAACATGATGAAACCCCGTCTCTGCTAAAAATACAAAAATTAGCCGGGTGTAATCCCAGCTACTCGGGAGGCTGAGGCAGGAGAATGGCGTAAACCCGGGAGGCGGAGGTTGCAGTGAGCTGAGATCTGGCCACTGCACTCCAGCCTGGGCAACAGAGCGAGACTCTGCCTCAAAAATAAATAAATAAATAAATAAAAATAAATAAAATAAATAAATAAATAAAAATAAAACATACAAAAATACAAAACAAAAAAAAAAATTAGCTGGGCGTGGTGGTGCACGCCTGTAGTCCAAGCCACTTGGGAGGCTGAGGCACGAGAATTGCTTGAACCCTAGAGGCCGAGATTGCAGTGAGCCGAGATCGTGGCACTGCACTTCCAGCCTGGGCTACAGAGCAAGAGTTCATCTTAAAGAATAAAAAATATGAAAAAATTAGCCAGGAGTGATGGTGCACGCCTGTAGTCCCAGCTACTTGGGAGACTGAGGCACGAGAATCACTTGAACCCAGGAGGCAGAGGTTGCAGTGAGCTGAGATTGCACCACTGCACTCCAGCCTGGGTGACAGAGCGAGACACTGTTTCGAGAAACAAAACAAAACAAAACAAAACACCTTCTTATTTCATTTTGGAGGAGGAGACTGAGGCCCAGAGAGAGGAAGTAACTTGCCTGAGGTCACACAGGCACAAGGTGGTAGAGTCAGGAGTGACTGTCCCGTTTCACAGATGATGAAATGGAGCCCTGGAGGGAGGAAGTGATGCGTCCCAGGCCACACAGCCAGATGAGGCAGAGTGGGATGAGGACCTGATTAGGTTTGACTTTGGTGTGGTGTGTACAGCTCCCGTCACAACCCCAGCATCAAGGGGGTCTCCGCATCAGGGTAGGAGGACTGGAGGCATCTGAGCCTAGTGTGATTTCGCCTTTTTTCTTTCTTTCTTTTTTTTAAGACAGGGTCTCGATTTGCCACCCAGCCTGGAGTGCAGTGTTGCATCACAGCTTACTGCAGCCTCAACTTCCGGGGCTCAAGCAGTCCTTCCGCCTCAGCCTCTCAAGTAACTGAAATCACAGGTGTGCACCACCAAGCTTGGCTAATTTTTATTTTTATTTTTTATAGAGATAGGGGATGTCTCACTATGTTGCCCAGGCTGGTCTCGAACTCCTAGCCTCAAGCCATCCTCCTGCCTCTGCCTCCCAAAGCGCTGGTATTACAGGCAAGAGCCACCAAACCTGGTCTCTTTTCTATATCAGATAAGAAGGTTGGGGCTCAGAGGGCTGGGGTTCAGTGGGGTGTGTAGGGGTGGGGGAGGGATGATCTTGGCCAGGAATGCAGGCTCACTGGGTGATGAGGGTCAGTAAGAGTGCAGTCCCGGGGCAGAGTTCAGCCTGGAGTTGGAGGCTCTATCGAGGGTCCAGGCTTAACCCAGGGTCGGGATTTAGACGGGGTCGCAGGCTCTATTTCGGGTCAGACCTCAGCCTAGCGAGGGGCTCAGCCCTGAGTTGGGAGCTCAGGCGGATGGAGACTCTTTTGGGTTTGAGGCTTGGCCCAGGCCCAGGGCTCAGAGAGGGATCAGAGGCTCTATCCAAAGTTGGGGTCTCAGTCCAGGTGCCAGCTCTATTGGGATTGAGGTTTAGCCCAAGGCGGGAGCTCAGCCCAGTGTCGCGGTTCCGTAGGAGGTCGGGGCTCGATTCAGAGTCGCGGGCTCTATAACCCGGTAAAGCTCCGCCGGGTGGGAGTCGGGTCCGGAGTCCCGAGGGTCCTGGGGGTCGCCGCCGCGCCGCTTCCGATCATGCCCGGCAGAGGGCGCGCTCTGCCCACAGTCCAGGCTGGCGGCGCCTTCGCTCCCCCGGAACGCGCGGCCGGGGCGGGCGGGATCTGCGTGCGGGGCGGGGTCTCCGGGCCCAAGTCTCCCCTGAGCCTAGACACAGGAGCGTCACCCGCACCCCCAGGCCAGGCCTCGCATCCCGTCGGGCTGTGCAACCCGCAGCTAGCGACCCCATTCTCCGGACCTCTGCCCCGGCCCAGTGCCATGGGATCCCGGTTGGGGGAGCTATGGAACCTGGAATGTGGGGGCAATGGGACTCCGTTTGCGGGGATGATGAGACCTTGGTTGAGGTGGGAGATGGGACTCCGTTTGTGGGGTGATGGGACCCTGGTTGCGGGGGACCGATGAGATCCCATTTGAGGGGCTTGGAGGAGGCGGCTTATTCTGTTCTGCAGGAGCCTGGAGGACTCGTCTTGGGGGCCAGAACGCACTCCCCTCCCCCACCCCCCCCTTCCAATGGTAACTCCTACACGTCCGCCATCCATCTGTCCCCAGCCCATCTGTCTGTCTCTGCAAGACCCTTTCCAAGGCCACTTGAGAAAGGGAGTGGGCGGGTGGACGGGCCCAGAGCAGGCACGGAAGGAGGGAGTGCATCTTGCTGGAGCACTCACCTCTCAAAGTCCAGGCCCGGGGGTCTCCTGGAACTTTCCCAAGGTCACTGGAAGAGAGGGAGGGGCCGTCACCCTCCCTGGGATCAGGGGCTGGGCGTGGGGTTAGGGGCACACTCCTTTCCCCCAAGCCACTAAACCAACTCCCTCTGTCCTCCTGCTGCCAGAGAAGGAGCCAGGCTGCCCCCAAGGGAGGATGGATTTACAAGTGTCAGCCGCGCAGACGCCAGCATGTGTCAGCCGGGTGTCTGGGGAGGTAGAAGGCGCGTGTGTGCCTGTGTGCTCCTGTGGGTGGGTGGGTGTGTTTGGGGTGAGGGCATCACGATCTGCTTCTGCCCCTGGGGCTAGAGAGTCCTTAGTCATCCCGGGCAGGAAAGGAAACTTCACTTTTTGGAACCTCAGTGACTACATCTGGAAGATGGGTGCAGTGATCGTAGCGGATTCAGAGATGTGTAAAACTACAAGGATGGGGTGCTGGGACTCAGCACTCTTGCATTGGCTGACGGCCTTGATAAGACACCAGCAGCCGGGTGCGGT